TCTTCCTTACTAAATAAATATCTTAAACCTGACACTATCCTCTTTTCCCCAAAAAGGAAGGATTTTGAGCATTGTAGATTATTCGAAGAAATCCCAAGTTTTCAGATGCAAACTAGACAAAAGTCTATACTCACTCTCCACTGCTCCACAGTGCGGAGGCCAATATAATCTTAGATTTTGAAAAATTACAGATGGGGAAGAATTAGTGACAATTTCACAGTAAATTCACAAATTTTAGTAATAATAAAACATGTCAGGATTTAAGAGTACAAACATAGATATATATCTAAATTACCAAGCACCTGTCTTAACAGTGTGGCTCAGTTTCAACTAAACAGAATCACTCACACTCCAGAATGTGAGCCAAGCAGGGAAGTCACAGAATTTACCCTAATATGTCTAGCTAATGTGATCAAACTAGAGACATTGTCTAAATCCACCTGGTTTGGAAAAATTATATTCTCTCTACATCAAATTGCTAAATAGATGTTGAAAGCTACCTTTGAGATGTAAATCTAGAATCAGCACTGAAATATATCCTAACTGAATGCCTCATAATTATACCAAAATCATGTACAACCACAAGAATGGGAAGTTATACTCCATGTATGTATAATACATCAAAATACACTCTGTCATGTATACCTAAAAAGAATTTAAAATTTTAGAGAGTTCTTCATATAAAAAAAAAAAAGTAACTATACCAATCTTTAGAAATAATCGAAATTGATCAGTGATAAGCAATAAGCCTCTGTGCATTCTTCAATGGAATAGGTTGTCTGCTTCTGTACTACTGCTAAAAATGAATCTTTTTTTTTTTTTTACTAACCAAGACTACCTATTTCAAGGTCACTAGTAATTATTTGATTAAGTAGATGAGCTAGAAAATAACTCTGAGGTAGGAAAAAGGAGGATTCAAATAAATTATCAAAACTACTAATGGGCAAAAGACACAACACAGACTATGGCCAACTGTCCCCACTTACTCTACCCTGGAAATCTCTAGCACATTCTGTCTAAATGTGCAAGTGACACTGCTGCACACTGACAAAAAGAATGATTTACTCTGAAGAAAAGTTATGGCACAGGGTGTTGTACCACTAAGGTCATCCTTCTACTAGAGGCTAGCATGAGAATTTTCAGTCTGGAACCATGGTTCTCTGAATGGCAAAACAAAGGTGAAACATCTTGGTCACAGTATACTGTGGATCTTTCATGAAATAAGGCCTTTGCTATAGTACAATGCTCTAACCCCTTAAGAACTTCGGTTAATCATCCTGAATAACAACCTGAAGTATGTTGCGTAGATTACTGCACTCTTAAAAAGGTTTTCCCAAACATGACTTAAGCTAATTGATGAACATTCATTACTAGATTTTCAGGTCTGGTCCTGCACTGCATGGCCCCAGACATGCTAGTCAAGCTTTGAATATTTTTGTCTTGTAGATTACCTCTATTATCCTTACCAGGCTGTTATTTGTTTTTGTTTTTTTCCTTACACTAAGCAGTAAGCTAACAGTTCCCCATTCTCCTATCTACTCCCCACCACACCTCTGTTAAAACTTCCCACACTACCCATAATCTACTAGTTTCTAATCTACTGTGGGTTTAGAAGCCAGATAAACTTTGCTTGTTGGGAACATTTTAATAAATGCCAACAAGTTCTGACTAAGGATCTCAAGGACTCTCCTATAATTTAAGGTAAGACTGGGACAGTCTAGCTACCCCAGGCCTTTGCTGCTTAGTGTCTGCTTCTCAACAGCCTTTTACAATAGGTCAAGGATAAGAGTGTAGGCAAATCATTTAGATCAGAAAGAGTCTAAATTACAAAAACCCACAACTAGAAGAGAGGAAGAGATTATTTGGGAAGGCCCTATGTCTCAGGCAATGTTCTAGGTACTTTAACCACGAATACTGAACCTCCATAATAACCATAAGAAAAAGACATCATTACCTCCACTTTCAGTCAGAAAATCCAGACTCTGGAGTTAAGTAATTTACCCATTATTGTAACCAAGAAGCCACATATTAGCCTAAGATTCAAAATCCAAGGCATTTCCCCTACATCAGATCCCCAATTATTCTTGATTTAATTATTTTTACGTATTACTCCTCATCCTTTCACTGGAACCTGACTAACTGAAGTTTGCTTTCTTTCCTTTACCATTTTCTGTAACTAAAGGGCAATAGTTAACCAAACGGAGGCTTTATCAAACTTAGCTCCACCGCTGTACATCTGTTCACCAACAAACACCTTTCTGAAAAACTGGCCCTATCTTCAGTATATAGACTGCAAAAATGGTGACAGGTGTAACACAAATTGTTCCCAGTGATACTGTTAACATTTCAAATCTTCCCCACTTCTGTACATTTGACAGAAAGCAGTACATTTTAGGAATTGGCCCAATAATGAATTCACTGCATGCTTCTCCAATCTGTACACTAATACAATTAATTTTCTTATGCTAACCACTGGGGACTAAAGCAAGAGACGTGAGAAGTTACTACTTTCCTATTTCCATTAAGAACAGAGGTGTACTTGTTTACTGTCAGAAGCTTTATTACTTAGACCAGGGCCTGACACAGAAAAAGCTGTTTCATTGAATAAATGCTATTTGTCCAATAACTACAAATTAATTGTTAAATAAATGTGTAACCTCTCCTGAACTTGTTTTGAAATCCTTAAATTTCACATCTTCTGATATACCTTTGTAATACTTAGTGGAAAGCATCTTTCCCCTTACAGAAATAAAGGGCCTTAACAAAACAACAACAACAAAAAACCTCTCCTACCAAAAGGCAAAGAATCTAAAAACACATGCCCCTTTCCACCCTCTAAAAATGATTCTTGTCCCAAGAGTATGAACAAGGCTCCATCTGCCAGACTCCACTATATACAGCCTTTATATACATTATACAAAAATGCTGCTACAAAACAGTTTCTGGAGTTCTAAAGCACAATACCAACAAAATCAAAAGCAAACAATAAGGAAAACTTTTACACCTAAAATTTAAAATTGACAATATTTACAAAACATAAAAATTCAAAAGGTCCTTAACCAGCAGTTTATGCAGCTAAATTGTTTTACTTACAATGTAAAAGCTTCAATCTCAATGCGAAGTAATAAGACTATGACATTATTCTAATATTTACAATATGAAAATGTAAAAGGCACCTATTGCTCTTTTGAGTAGAAACAACCTTTGTTTCTGTTAAGGAGAACTGTTGAAATACACTAAACCATCCCCACTCTTCTAACTTCAGAGTTAAAATACCTACCACACCTGACAAACCACAATCAGAAAATTACCCTGCAGTTTCTTATGAGACTATTACTTCACAAATCTTACAGGTTGTATAGAGTTAGATACAGGTAAGTTACAACCTTGATAAAACAAATTTTGTTGAAGAACTATACTGTTAAATCACAGGTGTAGCTACAAAGTACAAAAAACACGCTGTACTAGCAATTTCTTACAAAAAAAAAAATAGAGAGAGATATATATAAAGTGGGTGTTTGCAACCACACTACATCAATTAAACCTAGCCAATGGATTTCCCTAAACTCAAATAAATCCACAAGATTTTAACATTAAGACTTTAAGTTGGCACCTTAGAAAAGCCCAAGTAAGTGAACTATTTATATTTACCACTACCACAGCTAAATTATAGCAAAAACTAAGGAACTTTAAAAATAAACTCAGTGTTATTTTCTGAATTTAATGTGAACATTTGCTAAATGATCTTCTGAGAGAAAATTATTTAAATATTCTATATCATTTCTTAAAGCAAATGAAAAAATTCTCAAACTGATACTTTCATGAAATCCATTTTACATTCCTCCCATCTCTGCTACTTTTGCTGTACTGACTCTCACATCAAAAACCTTCACACTTCATTTAACTGTTGGCCAACACGTCTCTTTAAGAAGGAAACTTCTAAAACAAAGGGATCAAAAGTTAAATAACAGCAAATACATGTTTCACATAACAGCAAATTTATGCTCCTATTAAATGGCTTTCTTTGAGCTTATCAGTGGTATACATTCAATTCATATGAAATCATGTGAGAAAATTAAAAGGAATTTTGGAAATCAATTCATATTTCAGGAACCATTTTTGAAAATTACTCCACGTAAGTTTACACTGTTTTACACACGTAGTTTTAAATGCCACAATTTAGGATGATCCAAACTGTTTAGCAAGCAATTTTTTTACATTACTGACCAAAAAAAAAAAATGCTGCTTCCAAATTCGTTTTACCCGGATTTTCAAAATAAAGCTTTGATTGACAACCAAATGAGTAGCAGTTAGCTTTTATGTCAAAAGGAATAACAAAACCAACCTAGGTGTTGTTTTCCTTTTGTTTAAGGATCAGAAGGAAACCATAACCACGAAAGGGTAAGTAAAAGACAAAAGTACCTGACCTAAGGGCAGTGTTCCTCAGAAGAAAACAAAGTAATTCAAGCTGCAATTCTGAAAACCAAGGTTGAAATTGGTGAAATCAATCAGCGTGCTTTCTAAAGGCATGTGATTTAAAAAAAAAAAACTAATAGGCTGCACCCACCGAGCAACTTTCACAAGTGCTTTAAGGATGGTCCCCGCAGAGTATCAGCGTGAGCGCGTCTGTGTGAGTGTACACAAACTATTCAGCACCCACGACTATTATGGTTAACAAAGGTTACAGGACGGGGAAAAGTGGAAGCAAAGTAGCACACGCTCCAAACTCGGCTTCCCAACTCCTGCAACAAGAGCTCTGGCCCTTCGGCTTTGGAAATCAGAACCAGAAAGTGCCGAGCGTGAGAGCCGCGCAAGGGAAGGGAAGAGGGGGTCCGACCGGGCTAGGCTGGGGCGCAGAGCCCCTTCCCCCGGCGCCGACCCCGGCCCGCGCGCCCACGGCCCCGCCACACCCAGCCCCCACCCGCCGTGACCATGTGACACGCCGGCCGCGGCCGCACACAAACACACCCCTGCGAGGCCAGTGGGCGCCCAGGCTTTACCTGCACCGAGGCGCCAGGTCCCGCCCCGTCAGATCCGGGGGGCCCGGGACCTTTTGTTCCTTCCTCTTCCGATGGGATGGAGGGGGCTGGGAGGGGAAGAGGGGAATGGGCGATTGAAGGCGGAACTGACAACACTCTCGGCCGCAGAGCCCCCGCCCCCCCGGCCCGTGCCCGGCGGGCGGCCCGGGCGCACAGGGAAAGGAGGGCGGGCGGGCGCGCGGGGAAGGGGCCCGGCCGCCGCCCGCGGAGGAGGGGGTGGGGACGCCCGCCGCCCCTCCTCCCCTCAGGCGCGCGCCCGCCGCCCCTCCCGGCGCCCGCACGGCCGCGCCCTCGCCCGCCGGCCCACCTCCGCTTCCGCTCTCCGCCTTGCCCGCCGGCCGCAGCGCACCCACCTCCGGGCGGCTCGCTCGGCGCTCGCGGGCTGCAAGCTCGCTGCTCCTCCGCCGCCGCTGCCGCGCGGTAGACCCGCCTCCCACCCCGGGCCGCGAGCCCCGCCGATTCGCCGGCGCAGCCCCGGGGCTGGCACCCTGCCGCCCGCTGATTGGCGCCCCCAGCCGCCCGTTAGGGCGCGAGGCACGCCGGCCGAGCGCTGCGCGGAGCGCGCACGGAAGACGGAGGGAGCTGAGGAGGGAAGGAAGGAGGCCGGGCGCCGCGGGAAGGGCCGGGGGCCGAGCGGTGCGCGGGGAGTCGCGGGCCACCGCCTCCCCACCTCCCTTTGCCTTCGGCCCGCTCCGCCTCCCAGCCGGACCGGCGGCGCGCGCAGCCAATCGGCGCGCGGGGGAGCTCGGGGTGTGAGCCGCGCGTCGGGGGCCTCGAATCGGAAGGGAGACGTAGCTCGCTGATTGGTCCCGCCTCCCCCGTCGAACGTGAGGCGAGGCGCGGCCGCGCGGGGTGGGACGCCCGCGGTTTCGCTTGAGTTGGTCTTCGGCGCGCTCCCATAGGGGTTGGGGAGAGAAGCGAGGATTTAGGAGGACCGAGAGCACGACGCCTCTTCACCACCTGACCCCGAACCCCCTATGGCTATCAGCGCCATTGGGTGGGGCCTTCCCGGGACAGCCGCTTCGTCTGTTATCCGTCGTGAAGCCGGGAGTGAACACGTGCTTAGTCCCCGGGGAGACCTCGCGCCCACTCGAGAACTAGACGCGCCTGGAGCAGAAAGGGTTCTGGAGAAGCCCGGTGCCGGGCGCGTGCAGGGCGAGCCCTTTGCAAATGAGTGGGCGGGACCCTCGTGCTGGAGACGGGGGCGGGGCCAGGTTGTAAATAAGCCAGGACCCGGGGTCTTTCATGCGCGTTCTGAGACTAGTGTACGGGAGAAGCCAGGTAATTTTCCTCAACCTGAATCTTGGTCGCCGCACAAGTAAAAGTACTATTAACAGTGCATGCTCCAGGTGGTCATCGTGAAGTCTAAAAGATGAGCGCCTTGCTGTATTGCCTTAATTGCTTATCTTCCCTAACGTTTCTACTGTTCAGAGGATGTTCCCAGGCCCCAACTTCGTATGTTTGCCCTACAGGAGGCAGGCAGCAAGGCCCGAAAATTACAGCTGCGCCAGGGAGGTTGTTGCTTTTTAAAAAGTTAGAGACACCCAAGCCACTGCTGACAGAACATTAAGCCCAACTAATCAGATCAGGTATTAAGCACCTACTGTGTCAGACAGAACTAAGGAGGTCTCATACAGGTAGTTGGTGACAAGGACGGGCCTAGAGTACAGTTTTCTTAGCTGCCCATTCAGCACTTATTCCTAGGTACTTGATAAATTGCCTAGGAGAGTCTAATTAAGCCGGAAAGCAGCATGGGCAATACAAGTCTGTAATCAGGAAGTACCGAATGAGTATTCATAGCAGTAAGAGTTTTTGAAGTCTATTCCTTCTGCTCAGATATGAAGATATTCCAGAGGAGGGCGTCTTCAAATGGACCTTGAAAAATATTTGGCTATTCCCTGAGTTACAGATTTTCCAGGTGTTCTTTCAAAATCTTCATTTCTACTGTGTGTCTTCAAACACAGAAGTACTACTTGGGGAGGTTGTGATAAAGAGCACCAACCCTGGACCTAAGCCAATTGTAGTTTTGAATGGAGCTCTGTTTCAGATCTTTAGCCAAGTGGAGCTCACTTGAAGTGATAACTACTTAAATATAGTTGTGTGATGATGAAATAATGTGAAAATGCATAGCACAGGACTTTGAAATTAAAGGAACATCAACATCATTAACTTTCCTCCATTTCTGTTGCATACAGACTTGCCGAGATGAATCCACTCAGCAGAAATTTTCCTTGAAAAGTTTTCTTCCAGGGTATTTTCCTCTCTTGTCACTTTAGAGGCAGGCCTAATAATCCTTTCTAAAAAATAGTTTGTGACAGGGTCCCAGGAAGCTAAAGGGTGCAGCTGAGTCACCTCCAGTCACCACCTTCCAAAGCCACTGAGGAGAACAGGACCAAGTCTGTTCAAGTCTGTTCCTTGAAGTAGGAAACTGGTTCAGGCTTTAGGTCCTTTTTCATACTGATGATAAGTCGTCAGGTTCAATATGAAATGGACTATTAAAAGCTACCTTGAGTCACAAATATTTTCCACTGTGTGGATTGGTGTGTCCACCTTATTGGTAGGAATAGAAACAAAAGCAGGGTTAGATGAAATTTCAGAAGTATCTGCTCCTAGAATGAGAATTAGTTACTTTGGGGTATATTAATTCAGTGTGTAATATGCCTGAGGTCTTTCTTAGACCATCCCTCAAAAGTTTCAGATTTTGAGTCTAACTTCCAGGTAGGAAACCTTCCAAGATCTAGAAGATTGAAGAAGAGGGGCAGTCTGGCTACTAATACACTCCCCCAAAGGGCATAGAAATGGGAACATGCCTACTGTCCCTCAGCTGGAATGCATCTAGCCCAAAGTGGGTCAAGACAGAAACTGAAGGCACATAGAGCAGGGATTGCCATGGCAACAATCAGCTTGGAAATCCACCAGGGTACCTGAAGATCCATCAGTAGGTCCCTATTGTATAAATTATATTGAGTGAGTCTGGTTTTTGTATAGATAAACAACAAATTTAACCCTTTATTACTCTTGCCACTGGAAAATCAGTTAAGCCTGAATCAAGTCAGAATCATTTAAAGGTACTTAAATGCACTAGAAAGACATAAGAAAAATGATAATCCTGATTACTTCTGGAAAGAGCCTGAGGATCATGAGTATAAAACTTAAAATTTATAATTAGCTCTCCTGTTGTTTGGTGGTTTTTTTTTTAATTTTTTTTCAATATTTATTTTTTAGTTTTAGCTGGACACGATATCTATATTTTATTTTTATGTGGTGCTTAGAATCGATACCCATGTCTCACGCATGCTAGGCGAGCACGCTACCACTTGAGCCACATCCCCAGCCCCTGTAGTTTGGTTTTTAAAAAATATTCATATGTTGATTTTTCAAAAGGCAACTCATCTTCTATCTCCTGGTAAAACTGTAAATCCCTTCCTGGCTACCCCATCCCAAATCTATATCACTTTATCTATGCCTTTTTTCCTAAAATATACTTTTGCAATGACTTCGCTTTGATAATTTTTTGACCCATTAGTTTAGTCCTGAGCAGTTTCTTAGCTTCTCGTGTATAGTTTGTCTCCACATCTAGATTGTAAGTTCCTGAAGGCCAAAAACACCTTATTCTCGGTTGCCTTTTTACACCCTTACCAAAATATTAAGGAACTGAAGAAAGGTAAAATCACAGCATTTGTACTGTGGGGAGAGGGAGGACGGGGATATGGTATGTGCAAGTATTCTGCACCTCATCCTTCCAGTTTGTAATTAATACAGCTCCTGGGTCTCCGTGCTCTGTTTGCTCATCCTGGTGGAACTAAGTTGCAGTGAGCATTATTACTTCTTACAGGAAAATTCAGTTATTTCCAACTGAAAGGACAACCATTACATGAGATAACCTGAGTAAACAGAGAACAACTTAGGTAATTACTTTTATTGTAAATGATAATGAAGAAATCCAGCACCAGCTGGATTTATTCATCAATACAATGAAATTTCATATTTGTATGAATTTATGTAGAGAATGTGGACAAAGGCCTCTCTCTACACAGCACACACACTCCTTATATGCAAGCTTCTGCTAAAAATAGTATTTAACATCTGATGGGAATGCTGGAGACAAGAACAAGGCATGTCCAAGAAGAAACATTAAATTCAACAGGTATTCATTTGGTATCTGTAATGTGCCTACCACAAAAGTATTGGTTGATCATAGTGTAAAACTCATTCTTTGGCCAAAGTCAGTCAAGAAAATGAGACATACTAGTAGGGTTTTGTTTTGTTATTTTTTTAGAATTAAAAAGGAAAGAGAAGTTACTCCAGGTGAAATAAAAATATATGACAAAGCAAGTTTTATATCTCATTATTCTCCAAGTGTCTGTTGATGTGTTTCTTGTCTGTACATTTAAATGATCATTGGTAAATTTCTTGTCTATGCATAAATGATCATTGGTAAATTGATCATTGGATAATTAATCCAATGATTATTGATATATTACTTAGAAAATGTACAATTCCAATGTAACGAGCACTCCCAAGATGACATCTAAATATTATCTGAGATCTACATATTTTGGAAAAAGACTAAACTAGGTTCAATATCTAAATCCTTAAAGAACAGTATACAAACTATTAAAAGTTCTGTTGTGAGGGAAGATAATATGGTAGTCATATGTCAACAAAAGGGTCTTAATGCCTTGATAATAATCGCCTGTGTGTGATAATATTGACTGAGCTAGGCTGCTGCTAGGCAGAATAAGTGTATGAAGGTCTAATACTCTTGGAAAATTTTAAGCATATTAGCATAATTGCTCTGATGAAGACTGAAGAGCTTATTTAACATAGCTGATTACAGTAGACAATAGATGCATAATAAGTGCACTAATAATTGAATTAATGAGCCCCAATTGTTTATCCTTACTATAAACAGTCCTTAGCTATGAAAAAGACCTTGCTGAAGTAGTCTGACAATTGCGTTAGCTGAGGAGTGGCCAGAATATAATTAATAGTGGGAGAGAGCCAATTACTATTGGGTCTTAAAGATTTCAATGGTGGGTTTCAAGGGACAAATTGTTTCCCGACACAGAGGTTTCTTATCAGCTCCTTTTGCCTTCATATAATCATGGAGCCTGATTCAGTATTGTTTTACAGTTACGGAAACAGAAGCTGGGGCTTCCCCAAAGTCCTATGACCACATAGTGCCTGGGATTATGAACATAATATCTTCTTTATCTGCTCTGGCAGTGTTCACTAACTCGTCTCCCTATCACTTGTCTACACTCAACTGTTCTGAATCTTTGCCACTTTTCAGTATCCCAGTTCCTTTTACTTTTATATCTGTGTCCTCACCAGCTATTTCACAGTGAAAATAGAGGCAGATTTC